AAGGACCCAGGAGCCATGCCAACTCTGGTGTCTCTCAGCGTGGATCGATGATTAATGACAGCAGCTAATGCTGATGGCTGTTTAGTGTGCCAGGCACCCCATAAGTGCTGTAATGGGCACGATCCCCACTGCCCTCACAGCAATCCTAGAGGTAGGCAGGTGCTGTTTTTCATTTTATGGTGAAGAAACAGGGGCATGGGGAAGTTCGAGGAGTCCACACATTTGTCCCTGCATTACAGTCCCTCGATGTGGACACACCCATGAACATGAGGATCAGCTAAGGTTTTCATTTCAGCCTTATTTGCTTTTACCACAGTTTCATACAACTATAAGCAAAGATGAATATATATCCAAAACTTTCCCCCATCATACGCACTGTTCTGCACCTCGCTTTTTTTTTTTTTCCTTTTTGTCTTTTTTCGTGTCCGGCAACGGATCGCAACCCTCAGTGTCGCGCCCGTACCGGACCGGGACCGGCAACGGGATCGCAATCCTTGGCGCTGCGCCCGCACCTCGCTCAGCCAGTGAGCGGGAACCGGTCTGTATGTGGGATCCGAACCCTCGGCAGGAGCGCCACCGCGCTCCCAAGCGGCGCACTGTAGCAGTGCGCCACCGGGCCAGCCCTGCACCTCGCTTTTTTATTTTCTACCCCCTGGATTTCACCTCAGAGGGGTCCATAAAGAGCTTCCTCACACCACCATTTATCTTTTACTTATTTATTGTTTTTGGTGGCTGGCCAGTACAGGGATCCTAACCCTTGACACCTTGATGTTATCAGCATCAGGCTCTCCCAAGTAAGCTAATCGGCCAGGTCTACGCCACCATTTACTTATTGTCCACTACTGACGGGTACTTAGGTGGCTCCCAATCTTTCACTATTACAAGCACTGAATGACCTTAAATATGTCATTTCTCACAGATGTGTGATCTATACCTGTGGGATTAATCCTAGAAGTAGACTTGTTCAGCCTCAGTTTTTCAGATTCTCCTCAACATAATTATATCAGTGGTACCTGGTTTCAAAATTTGCTGGGCTGCTTTGGCAATGAAGAGAGCCAAGGTAAAAGTGAGTCTCATGTTCTGAGTTCGAATCCCATTCCGGACTACATCCAACAGGTAAAGTAGCTTAAAAATAGGGAGAAAAAAAAAAAAAAGATGAGTATTTTCAGAACCGTGATCGGGCTTGTCTTATGCAGCTGAACTACAGCTCTGCAGGACGTGGGTTCGTCATATCCCAGGGACAACCAAAGATGACACTCACAGTAGTGGACTCCCTGTTTGCCACCATCTCAGGGATGCTTTTTGTTTTGCTGCTCTACCAGCATGGGGTACAGGTTTCTGAGGTTCAGCTGTCGTGGATAACAGCTACCTTAACCACTGAGTTTAGACCAAAGAAATAAAATCATTTTGTCTACACACAACACGAGAGCATTTGTAAGGGGAAACCTTTTCAACTTCCCCAGGGGGTTGAGGATCAAAGGCAACCTCCTGCATCACCTCCTAAAGGGACAGACTTTTGATCTTTAGCAGAGGCTTCCTGGCAACACGTACCTCATGTTCCTCAGGAAATCCTTCTACTAGACCAGGTGGACAGCCAGTTCTCTGAAGCCCACCAGGTCACCCTCAGCCCTGTAGAACGTCCCCTCTTCCTACTCACCTGGGACTGCTCTCGGAACCGTGCTCCCTCCAGGTGCGAGTAGTAAGCCGCCAGGATGTAGTAAGCTGCGGCTCGCATCTGGGGGTCATAGCTGCTGAGGGCCGCGACAGTTAAGCCTAGAGCATTTGAATCCAAAAATTTTCGACAATCCACCACAAATTCTACAGGAAATAAAAAACAGCATTAAACACACACAGTGTAATTTCATGATTCTTATTTAGCCTGGAGTATAAAATCTCCTTTTGCATCTTTCCAATATCAACTACATGTGCTGGATACAAGAAATGCAAGTCTCTCCAGCTCCCCCTAACTTCTGCTTAACTTGGACAAGAGACTATCTTCGCCTCTGTGGTGATGATGACCATGGCTTCAGTTTCTAAGATGCTTGTACATCCCAACCAGGATAATTTAATTACTTCTCACAAACACCCAATGAGCCAGAGAAGAGCACAGGTGATACCAAAACCCCCTGCTGAGATGCCAGCATGCCAGAGGCCTGGGGAACACAGCTGGGGAACCAGCAGAGAAAATCTCCTCCTGGTTCCTCCCTGTTCAGCTCACTGCCTCGGGTTCCTACCTATAAGCGCCACTGAGGAAAACTCAGAAAGTGTTGGAAGTAGGGAAATTTAGCAGGCGCAAACCAGTCTGACAAAGGATTACTTACATCTACTATGCAACTCTAGTTCCTTTTTCAAACAAACAACAAAAATCTCACAGACGAAGGGCTCACCAAGCTTGAGCAACACCTACAGTGGAAAGGGGCTGCTGGCTGATATACACCCACCATCCGTGAGGCCTTGATAAGCTTACTATCCCTCCAGAAGGGGATTAGACCAAGAGAGAGAGGTCAGATACATGGGGGACCCACCTTACCACTTAAAGGGCTTGATTTCCACTAATAAAATTCAGGACACTTTACTCTTTAATAAAAACCTAGGCCTTTTTACAAGATACACACTGTCAAGAAGAACCTCAGAATACAGATAGGTTACCTTGTTTAAAAATAATTATCTGGTCATGATAATTACCCACATGATGTTCTTTAAACTGAGTGACCAGTGACATGATTAAATTAGGAACCAAACACAAGCCAGCTGAAATGACTACCCCAAATGAGTGATTTTGGAATACACTATCCATAAAAGATATACCATCAATAACATTTTTTACAAGTTAGAGGAATGATTGAGCATATTAAGTAGAGACATGGAAGATACAAAAATCCAAACCACCAAGCTTCTAGAAATGAAAATTTTAGTCTCAGATGAAAAATGCACTAAATGGGATTGTCAGTAGATCAGACACCACAGAAAAAAAGATTAGTGAATGCAAAGATAGTAACAGAAACTATCCAAACTGAAACATACAGAGAGGAAAGTACTTAAAAAACATGGAACAGAACATCAGTGAGCTGTGGGACAATTTCAAAGAGCCTAACATATCTGTAAACAGGGGTTCTGAAAAAAAATTTGAAGAAATGATGGCCAAAACTTTCTCAAATTTGACAAAAAATATCAACCTACAGAACCAAGAAGCTCAATGGACCCCAAGCACAAGAAACATAAAGAAAATCACATCAAAACACATCATAATCAAATAGCTTGAGATTGGTGATTAAAAAAAGTCTTAAAAGCAGCCACGTAACACACAAAGAACAGATACAAATGATGGCAGATTTTTTGTTAGAAACAATGCAATCCAGAAATCAGTGGGACAACATCTTGTAAGTACTGTAAGAAAAAAAACCTGTCAACCTAGAATTTTTATACCTCATGAAAATCTTTCAAAAGTTGAGACTTCTTTTCAGACATTAAAAAAGCTAAACACGGCCGGCCTGGTGGCGCACTTGGTAGAGTGCGGCACTTGGGAGTGCGGCGGCGCTCCCGCTGAGGGTTCGGATCCCATATAGAGACCAGTCCGCTCACTGGTTGAGCGCGGTGCGGGCGCGACATCTAGGGTTGCGATCCCGTTGCCGGTTGCAGTATGGGCGCGACACCGAGGGTTGCGATCCCATTACTGGTCACGAAAAAAGACAAAAAGGAAAAAAAAAAAAAGCAGCTAAACAAACTGGTCACTAGAAGACCTGAACTATAAGAATTCTTAAAGGAAGTATTTTTAGGCAAAACAAAAATGACATCAGGTAGAGAAACCTGGATCTACTCAAAGGAATGGAGAGAACCAGAAATTGTAACTCTACGGTAAATATGAAATATTTAAATCTCTTTAAAAAATAATGACAACTTGGGCCGGCCCGGTGGCGCACTCGCTAGACTGCGGTGCTTGGGAGTGCGGCGGCACTCCCGCCGAGGGTTCGGATCCCATATAGAGACCGGTCTGCTCACTGGTTGAACGTGGTGCGGGCATGACACCGAGGGTTGTGATCCCGTTGCTGGTCACGGTACGGGCGTGACACTGAGGGTTGTGATCCCGTTACCGGTCACGAAAAAAGACAAAAAGGAAAAAATAAAAATAAAAATAATGACAACTTGAAGCAAAAATAATGACAACTTGAAGCAAAAATAATAACATACTGTGGGGTTACAGGGTATGATAAGAACAGCACAAAAACCAGCAGGGGAGAAATGGATCCATACTGTTGTAAGGTTTTTATATTATACATGAAGTGTTGTCATCTCACTTGAAGATAAACTGCAATAAATTGAGGATGTANAAAAATAATGACAACTTGAAGCAAAAATAATAACATACTGTGGGGTTACAGGGTATGATAAGAACAGCACAAAAACCAGCAGGGGAGAAATGGATCTATACTGTTGTAAGGTTTTTATATTATACATGAAGTGTTGTCATCTCACTTGAAGATAAACTGCAATAAATTGAGGATGTACACTATAAACCCTAAAGCAACCATTGAATACACACACACAGTTGTGATCAAAAGCCAATGAAGATGATAAAATGGAGTAACATCAATAATCACATTAAATACAAATGGTGTATAAACCAAATTTAAAAACAGCGATGGTCACATTAGATGAAAAGCAGAACCCAAGTACACACTGCTTACAAGAAATCACTTTTAATATCAAGACACAGATTAAAAGTGAAAAAATGAAAAAGAATAATCAGATGACTCCTGTGCTCCAACAGCTTATGGACTAAATTTTTAAATGTTTTCATTTCTTATAAGTGACTATTTTTGATTGGGGGGCAGGTGACCCAAAAAGCTATAAAAGCATCAAACTGTGAATAAAATTATATTGTTTTAAAAAAGATGAGATGTACTTAAGAGACACCTACAGACCTACATAACAAATACATGTAAATGGAATACATATGGGAAAGTTAACAGTCTAAACAATATTACACTCACTGAAAACAGCTAGCACTCAGCTGACTGGGATAATTTTAGTAGTCACTGACTTTCTAAAACAAATGAACTTTCCACGTGTCCATGAGGAAAAGTCAATTTCATGTTTTTAGTCATGAAAATTTCATTTTCATAGTCATCTCTGCTACTCTATGGAAGTCTTGGCTTTTTAACACTGCCCTTGAGATGTTGAAAATATAATAGGCTATTTAAAAATAGTTATAAATACCATTCTCTTTGTTTCAAGAACCTTGTTGGCAGCAATTGGCCTTCCAATAAATTTTCAGATTAAATGGCTTAACCAGGACAATTATCAAGGATTAAAATAAAAAGCACCCCACTTTTAGGGGCTATAGAGGCAGTGCAACTGTGCTGTTGGAGCATCAAGAACTGTTCCTCAAGCCTCCTCTTCCACAATATTCCCGAGGCCTGCTGTCGGGTAAGGCTTGTCCCAGAGAGCAGTCAGGGGGGACTATGCTCAGAGAACTGCAAAGAGGCCGTCCTGTCCTGGCTGCTTTGTGGCATATGTGAATTATGAGCTGAAGATTTCAGCCCAGTTCTGTTGAGAACAAGAGTTTGCTGTGGAAAAAGCATTTGTCACTGACAAACTGTTCACAGCCTTGGCTGGCCCTGTTTCTTGGCCAAGGACTCAAAGAAGGGAAGCAGTAAGGTTAAGAAAACAGGTTCCCATTTCAGCAAAGGGCTGAAAATGGAGCAGTGAGACTGTAGTTTCTTTGAAGACTGGCAGCCATACATAAAAATGAATCATATGCACAATTTAGGATTGCACAAAGTTTAGCAATACCTGGACCCAGGTGCCACTCCAAGAAGTAAAAACACACTACTGAGACTCTGCTACACTCAGCATAGATGAATCTCACAAATAACATGTGGGACAAAGAAAGCTCAACACAAAAGAATACATCATGTATAACACCACTTACGTTAAATTCAAATAGAGGACAGTGGCCCCTTCTTGAAGATCTGCAAGGAATGTTCTATTCCTTGATGTGGCTGTGGTTTCACCAAAACTCAAACCATGTACATATAGTTAGTATACTTTTCTACGTGTCCCGCTTCCTCTCCTGATGAACTAGTGTGTTTCCTTTTAGCAGGCAATGAAATTTGTTTAGGGCCGGCCCGTGGCTCACTCGGGAGAGCGTGGTGCTGATAACACCAAGGCCCCGGGTTCGGATCCCATATAGGGATGGCCGGTTGGCTCGCTGCCTGAGCGTGGTGCTGACAACACCAAGCCAAGGGTTAAGATCCCCTTACCGGTCATCTTTTAAAAAAAATAAATAAATTTGTTTAAAACATGAGGCTTCTATTTGTTGCTTGGGACGACAGGTAACCCAGAGCGACATATAATGAACATACTTTTGGGATGTG